TGGGCTCTTCCGATGGCACTTTCGTTGGTGTCTTTGTAGGGGATCTGGTCATTTCACTAGGCGTGAAAGAATGAGCGATGGTTGGAATGCCGCTCGCGACGACAGTGGGATCTTCCGAAGGAGTGTCCGTTGGTGCCATTGTGGGTAAATTGGTTATTACACCAGGCGCCAAGGAATGAGCAATGGTTGGACTGCCACTAACCACAATAGTGGGCTGTTCCGGTGGGATTTCTGACGGAGTTTTTGCTCGTGTGTCGGTAGGTGTAATAGTATGATGAATTGATGAGATCACTGTTGGAGTCAATGTCGAGACGGTTGGAGCTTCTGACGGCATTTCAGTCGGGTGGATCGTTGGTTCCGAGGACGGCTCATTCGGCGAAATCGTTGGGACATCGGATGGTGTTCTAGTTGGTCCAATAGTGGGGTCCATACTAGACGCAATAATAGATGGTTCGTCGGATGGAACAACTGTAGGCATTGTAGGTTGCTGTGATGGCGGTTCCACGTCAACTGTCGGGAACTCACTTGGCGTTAGAGATGGTGGCTCCACGTCGACCGTTGGTGTACTACTTGGTTCCTCTGATGGTTCCGCGCTTGGTTGTTTGGATGGCGAAACTGTAGTAGGTCCACTCGTTTCTTCAGTGGGTGCTTCGGTAAAAGGAGAAAATAGCGATGGGAAAGGATTCACATTGACACGTCCAGAAGTTGGAGCTTGTGTGGCTTCAGCTGTTGGAGGTGCTGTCGCAATACTAGGTTCCGTGGAGAACATGGCACCGTTATCAAATCTCGTTGGGTTCGGCGATGGAATACTTGTTGGTGCTTTGGTTGGACTGATGGATGGCCGAGATGATGGAGACTCGGATGGAGATTCAGATGGAGACTCGGATGGGGACATTGACTCCTCAACTGCTGATGGTCTGGACGTTGGACCCGAAGTGATTTCTGCCGTCGGAGATTCAGAAGCAGTGCTAGGTTCCACCGAGAGCATGGCACCAACATCAATTCTTGTTGGACTCGACGATGGAATGCTTGTTGGTACTTGTACTTGGGCTGGTCTGATGGATGGTCGGTCTGATGGAGACTCGGATGGAGACAATGACACAACTGCTGAAGGGCTGGATGTTGGATTTGGTGACGTTGCTGTAGGAATAGGCGTCGCAGCTAGAGTAGGATTCACCGAAACAGATGTTGGTTCCAAGGACGGTGCATCGCTGATTCTAGCAAGAGCCGATGGTTCTGGAGATGGCGCCAAGGAAAAGTCTTGAAGCGCTTCCACCATGAATTCCTGAGCCTGATATTATGTGAAAGATGATTGAGAATTATGAATAATGAATAAAGGTTTGGCAGAATCACGCATATACACATACCTCATCCAAGAAGTCAGACAAAACATGGACCGAATGAAGAGGACGACGAAAACGTCGTTTGCGAATCAGACCTGCATCAGCCTGGCTGACGAGAAAAGCAACAAGAACCAATAAGATGGGAATCAGTTTCATATTCAACTTCTTTCTTTGCAGTGGCGAAATTCTATCGATGTAATGATGGAATATGGCTTAGCTCTTCCAATGGTAACCGCCAAAAGTGATTCGGTTTATGAGGGAGAGGTGCCTCGCAACAAAAGACTTCATCCGAAGCATGACATGAAGTTCCCTCGACTCCGCTTACAGACTCGTCACTCCGCTCACCATGCCATCTCGCTGCCCCCACTATCAGTTTGGTAGAGTATAAAGGATGTGACCTTACACAACCGCTAAATATTAATTCTAGCCGAGCAATAGGGGAAGCCAAACTCCCATTGAATGGCGGAGAACCATATTGCACGCATGGTGATGAGACTCATCCATTTTGATTTTCATGTGACACTCTGGAACTCCTTCAATCGTACGCGTAATACAGCTATGAAAATTGTCTCGTCAAACGCTGAACCTGGGAAAAGGACACTCTCCAGCTATTGATTGGAGAGATCGATTATTATCAGAGACAAAGCACATATTTAAAATACTGCATGTACCGGTCGAATTTTGCCGTCACAAAATACTCACGAAAATGCACGACCCATTATCAGTCAAAGGAGTCAGCCACTCTTCGCTCATTTATTCTCTATCTCTCCATGTATCTACACCTCATTGTTTTATTATTCCTGCGTACCGGTAGACTATTACTGTAATAATTAAAGGCAGCACGGAACTCGAAATACTCGTTGACGATGGATGGACGAAATAGTCGTTAGGATATATTAATACATTCATTTTTTATTTATTTATATATTGATAGCAGCAGCGCATAAGCTCTTAGATGAACATAGAAACTGCAATGCCCATCAGTGCAGTTAGAGCGACCGACCAGCTGTTGCCAACTGTCGCTCCACCGGACCAGGAGTCATTGCCATCATTGGCATCGAACAATGGGGCACTTGGATCAATTTCACACTGACTACCTTCCCATCCATCGACACAAGAGCAGACCGGGTCGCCACCAAGGGTGCATGTGCCTTGGTTGGTGCAGAAGGTAGACACATCCTCGTCCCCACAGGTATCGGTGGCTTCATATTGACAGAATAGACCTGCACCAAGCGTACCATCGCAATTGCAGCCCCATTCATCGCCAGACTTTTCGCATTTCGATCCATGGAAGCAAATATGTTCACCATCATCGCCACAGAGCTCGTACTGCTTTTCGCATTCAACACCAAAGAATCCAGCAGGGCAGTAGCAATATTCAAAGTCTTCGGTGGATTGATTATCAAAGAGTCCAGCCTTCTTGGTAGCTTCCAAAAATGGCAAGAAGATTTCTCCAATCGGTTTATTGGGCCCTTTCAGACAAATCCCTCCATTATCGCAGGTCAATCCACAGGTACTCCAAGCCATGTCTGCGGCATCAGTACTATCATACTCGCATCTTGGTCCAGTGAAGGTTCCTGGACAAAAGCACAATGGTCCAGAGTCGCCATAGTAGCACCTTCCGGCATTGGAACAGCTCCAGGGCTCGTTGTTGGCATTTTCGCTGCTGGAGCACTGAAAATTTGCAAGAGCAATACACTGTCGTCCAAGGCTCAAGAAAGGATCCGTAGAGAAAGAGCCCACAAAGCAGTCACAAACATAGTCGTCTCCCGCAACAGTAGTCTCGCCGGCTGGAAGCTCGATACAAGCCGAGCCATATCCACAGTAGCCAGAACCACAAGCTTTGAGCTCACAAAAGGTACCAGATGTGCCTATGAGAAAGGAAAAAACGCTTGTGTTAGTGATAGCAAAGGATAAGTAGACTCGTGGTCTTTGTAGCATTGGAGCAATCTCACCTTCGGGACAAGTGCAGGAGAATTGCTGCAGATTGCGATTGCCAACGCCTTGAACGCTGGTAACAAGTCCTGCATTACAAGTCCCGCCATTTTGACAGGCGTTGTTGCAAGGATCCACTTCAATCTCACAAAACTCTCCAGTGAACTTGTCATCTGGGCAAATGCAGTACTCTCCTGGTCTTGGAAGGGAAGTGTCACCCACAAGCGAAATGGTTTCATGACCATTGGAGTTGTTGTTGTTGTTGTAGTTGTTGTTGTTGTTTTGGACGCTGAATCCATCATCGCCGGCAAATGCATCATCCATATTATCGTCACCATTGGGGAATGAGGTACTGCAAATTCCACCATTTTGGCAGCCACAATCTCCAGTCTCCAGTTGTTGCTGGCAATACGCCCCGGTGAATCCAAAGGGACATTCGCAATAGAATTCATCTTGGTCGCCATTCTGCGCATACTCTGGAGTGGGTTTCTGCGGTGGCAGAGTTTCGAACTCTTGCAGCCTGCGTCGTCCGTACCCCCAACTCTTGCAAGTTCCATCGTTCTCGCATGGGCAGGGATCCGAGCAATCTGAGCCAGCCCAGTCCGAATCGCACTGGCACCTTTGATACTCTTGTTGGCGACAATAGGAGCTGTCCAGTAGACAATATTGCAAGGACTCTTGATCATACCTCCAATCTTCTTGAAGCACACAGCTACCGTTGGCGCAATCAAGATCACAAGACTTTTTGGTCTCGCAAGTATCACCTACAGTAAAAAACAGTGTGTGAGTCGCGGGATGAAGAAGTGGGAACTTTTCAAGAGACATACAAGCAATTGCTTTTCACATACCTTCCCAAAGCGACTGACATTCGCAATACTCGCTCACGCCATCAGCTACACAAATACCATCGTTCTTGCACTCAACACCACAAGCGAATTGGCAAGAGTCTCCAGAGAATCCTTCTTTACAGAGACATCCAGTACCGGTACCCTCCCCAAGAAAGACACATTCGCCATTTTCGCCACAGTCCGAGGAACATGTGATGTCGCACAATTCTCCCAAATGGCCATCGGGACACTCACAGTAGGAAAAACCTCGACCAAAGACGTCCGTACCATTGTAACTATCATAGAACTCATCAATGTATTCGTAGAAGTCCATTTCATGCAACCACCACCCTTCAGCAAAGGTACAAACACCACCATTCATGCATTGCTTGTCACAGGGAACGGCAGTTTGACACTGCTCACCCTCAAAGCCAGCATCGCAGACGCATCGTTCGTTGCCTTTTTGAGTTAGAATGCAACGACCATTGTTCAAACAGCCGATTGAGCATTCTTTTTCACAGAGGTCGCCATAAAAGTTGCCAGAACAAAGGCACTGTGGCTCGGGACCTCGAAACTGACAAGTAGAACCATTCTCGCACTCGAGGTCACAAGTCAGCTCGCAGAGGTCTCCATAAAAGGTACCATCCGTTGGGCATTCGCAATAGTCAGTGATACTACATTCAGGTAGTCCTTCAATGATACAAATGAAGATGTATTCGGAAAGGGCTTGGGTGTCTCCAACATTGAGCCACCAGGACGCTTCGCTGCGGCATGTCGCTCCATTCTCGCATGGCAAATCGCAAGGCTTGGGTGTTTCGCACAAGGTTCCAGTGAAATTGCCTGGGCAGACACACTGAGTGTCTATGATTCCATCCTTGTTGGAATCAAAGGAAAGGCAACGGCCATCATTCTGGCATGTGAGGGCATCGCAATCTTCAATTTCGATGGTATTAAGGAAACCGACTTCATCTTGCACCTGTTTCGCAACGGCTTCTTGAGACAAGATAGGCATCTGCTGGTGTCGCCCGAGAAGAGAGACTCAGCAACAACAAGAAGCATCCGAAATGCAACGAACGAATTGATTTCATGATGAGAGCTTTCGACTACTCTGAAATTGTGAGAAATGGAGATTTGGTTTTCGAGTAATGTCTGTCAGTAATGGTATCAGTAATGGACCGGTAATGGATTGCAATCACTTATTTCGGAGGCGCAACCATTACAGGTGTCACCGGTCTCGACGATGCGCGTTTTCTGGTCGGAATAGTGCCAACACCAGATGCAGCAGGCTCGTTGGTAACATCAGTTGATAATCCCTTGTACAATATAGTAGTCGATGTGCTATTTTACATCAATACTGTGATACATATCATATGTGCAATGATATGTTTCGCGATTATATTACCTGCCTTTAAAAATTATTGTCTCAAAAGATACGCGGTTTGCAAATCTCGCGAGCTTTCTCGTTCATAGGAAGCACTGAACTAGACCTTATTATACATCCGAATCCCCAATATATTCATATCCCAACCCTATTGTACAATAACATCATCGTTGAGGAGAATGCGATGAGAACATCGCAGTGAGACTCGCCGGATTCTACTGTACTTGCGTTACTGTACTAGTATTACATTTAGCATTATTTCTGCATGAGGGTTGGTGGTGACTATGATTCATGGATGCGGCCGTCAGTGCAGAATCGTTGATTTCCATGGTCTTCAGGATCATTTGACACATAAAAGAACTCGGTTGTGTGCTGGCTCTATCTTATATATTTCAACTTGTTAGGCATTGACATTCTATATTGTTTGATTGTTTCCGATAATCCTTAGATAACTTGATGCAAAGTAACCTTTTTCAGGACCTATGAAATCATTTTCGTGATGTGTGTCATTTCAAATTGTCCGTCATTCAAGTTGCTCGCATTTAGATGTTAAATGAAGGTCTATCGTAATTCGGCATGTCGGATCAGGAGAGTATTGAATGATCGATCTTTTAAGAGATGGCTTCAATCACCATGTCGCAAACATCCTCCATATCCAAAGCATTTAGCGCGTAAAAGGGACGGTTCATGCCAAGCAGCTCAACAATTGTAGCCTCGACACCACTTACTCGAACAACAAAATTGCCTTTTCCAGGCTACACATGGAAACAAAGAAGGTCAGACATGATGTACCGTCGTTACGTAGAGCATGGGATGCGTTGTTTACTGTTATTGACCCACCTGTTCTTTGTTGATTTCAACGACAGCCTTTTCACCCACGACCTCAGCAATTTCATTGGCTCGAGCAAGGAATACGACTCAGTCCTTGCAAACTTCGTTTCAAGCTTCAATGATAACAACTGCCTTTTTGCTACTCATCGTCATATAATAGCAGTGCCTTCCTGTGTCGCTTGTTGCCGCTGCTCCATAATATTATTCAATACGCGCGCTTCCAAGAACTGAACTAGGCTTTTTTTTAAAATTGCACGCCTGCAATCATATTTTCAATTTGCAAGTTCATTAATTCACGATACTACCTTTCTCTCTTTCCATAAAGATTTGTTGCATTCACGTCATACCTTTACGTCCGGAGTCGCTTGCTCCATCATAATGAACAACTTTTAGGGCTGACTGCTGCCATGGGAGGATGCTCTACTAAACTACGATTAACACATTTTAGGACTTTCAGCGCAGTGTGCTGTCACGGCAGTTATCGTTGCATATCTCCGCATGTCTGTGGCGTGTTATTTTTGTATCCGAAATTGTTGACTTCGAACATTTTTATAATACTACCTAGACATTTAAACTTGATAAATTTAAAATCGCGTTTATAGCGTGCATTACAATTAAGGACCGGTACCGAAATTCGTTCTTCCAGGTTTTTGATAGACGAAAATAAATCCCGTGAAATGTCGATGGGTCTTGTACGAGTGCAAGTTGAGATTTCCGAGTTTCAGTTTTCTAGAGTCACAATATATTTTGCTTCCGATTTGATCTGAAAAATAATGACAGAGGACAACAATACTACTATCGACATTGAAAAGGCAACTCTGGAACAGAAAGCAGCTCTGGAACAGAGTGAAAAGACACCCACTTATACTGTATTCTATCGAGGTTGTGCTCTTGCACTACTCATTATTGTGATTACCGGAATCATCCTTGGGGTATCTAGTACAAACAACGATCCATTGAAACTACCCCAGCTGCGACCGGCTCCAGCGACTACAAAGCTCTCCAATTCCACAGAAGCTCCCATCACTGGCCAAACAACATCAGCTCCAACCCTGGGACTCGTCATCACCACTGTCCCTACATCTGCTCCTGTGAAAGCTACAGAAGCTCCTATCAGCCAAACAGCACCAGATCCGCCCCTCGGACTCGTCACCACAACTGCCCCAACATCAGCTCCCGTGGAAGCTACCACCGCCCCAATTCCTGCAGTAATGACGACTCCAACATTGCCTCCAACATCCGGTCAACTGGATGTTCAAGCATTCATTGATGCTAAAGTAGCCCAAGGCGAGACACACATCATCATCCCACCTGGGAGACATTACATCGATCCTCAGCATAACAACGGAAAAGTACATTTGCACCTGCAAAACTTGCAAGATATTGTCATTGATGGTATGGGCGAGGCTGAAATTGTGTGCACCAAAACTACCCGGGCGATTACACTATGGGGCTGCCAGAACGTCACCTTGAAGGGATTGATTGTGGATTACGATCCTTTGCCGTTTTCGCAAGGTAGAATTGAAAGCATCTCGGATGACCAACTAAAATTGACCGTTTCCATGATTGATGGATATCCAGCCGCTGATAGCCTCAAAGAAACTGGCAAGATCGAGATCTACGATTCCGCTACTGATGAACTTACTACACCCACATACTATGGAGTAACTGTCGGTATGGCTGATGAAAGTGGAAAGAATGTTATCGTGACGAAAAAACCCAATCATGTACCTCTTTCAGCAGAGAAGGTGGGCGACATTGTGGTGTTTGGTTCATCCAATATTGTGAATCCTATTCCCCATGCAATCTTCGCCAAGGACTCCGCGGGTTTGCTTTTTGAAGGAGTCAAGGTATATGCATCCAACATGTTTGGTTTTCTGGAGAACGATTGCACTTCCTCAGGATACATCGGCTCGGTTGTTGACCGTCGACTACCCGAGGACGACATCAAGCAACGTGGGTATCGCCGATTGCGCAGTGCAAATGCGGATGCTTTTCATTCGAAACATGCACCTATCGGACCAAGATTCCAAAATATCATTGCCCGCTACAATGCTGATGACGGAATCGCCGTCAACGGCCACTACCATTTGATTTCAAATGTTCCGTCTAGTTTGGACAATACGATTCGAGTCATTGGAAAGAATGATGAAGTACCGAATCTATCCGAGGGCGATATGGTGGAGTTGGTAAAGTACAGCGGTGAACGCATTGAGAACGCCAAGATTGTATCCTTCGATTCAGAGACTACGTATGCACTGGATCAAGCCGAGAAAGACTTTCTCGGTGCACAAACCTTCTCTGGTCGGGTAAAACTTACCAATTTTGCTACCAAGGTATACACGGTGACATTGGACCGCGCTATTGACGTACCAATGGGGAGTCTAATCGCCTCTACCAACCGACTTGGCAATGGTTTCCGAGTGGAAGACTGTATCATTGGGCCAAACAGAGCTCGAGGAATGCTTCTTAAGGCTAGTGACGGTGTAGTTACTGGGAATATTGTTCAAGACACTTGGTTGGCCGGAATCATGCTCGCTCCAGAGTACTCTTGGCTCGAAGCAGGCAGTGGAACCAATCTTCTGATCGCCAACAACACCATTACGAGAGCCCATGACGTTGCCATCAGTGTGCATGCAGAGGGTGGGGACGGTACAGTCGCTCCAGCTGGGGCACATGGAAGAATCATAATAGAAGACAACCGGATTGTGGATTCGTCCATGCCGGCCATTGCTGTGACATCGACCAGTGAGTTATTCTTATTTCAAAATACTATTGAAGGCGCCAACAACGACTATGTTCCAGGGTGGAAAAGGGAAGACTTTGGCCGACAAGAGGACCCAGGACGACAAATATACTTGGAGAATGTAGCGAGTGTTCGAAGTACATTTGCTGAATGAATCAACAATCACGAGATTGTGACCCCTCCTTTCGGCAGCTCTACCATAAGTGCAAAACCTTCTCATTTTTGAACGACATTTACTGTCATGCATACTACCGTATAATTATCTCATCACATGTTTATTGCATATGATATCATCATCTATCTAAATTTGATTAGTGTTCTTTGGTCTTGTTGCTCCATCCGAATAGTGAGAAAGTCGATGAGCTCCTTGACGGCACGTCGCTCTCACTTGCGGTTCCTAGTCAATCCAAACTTCTCTTTGAAGAAGCCGAAGTCAATAGTGGCCCGGCTTCGTCGTCTGCTGCTTCCGAGTTGCTGACGGCGGTCGTGGCGGGTACTCGTTCGATTCCGTCTTCAGGCATGTCGTCTCGTTGACTGATTGCTTCCATTGGTATCTGTGAAGGATTGGATGACTGTGGTGTTCCATAGACAATAGAATCCGCCAACTGTAGAACCTTTGGACCCTCCCAGAGCGCCCGAAGGTCTTGCCGTTTCCATCCAAGGTACGTCATGGTTCCCAGTGTACAGGGCACCAAATACAGTAGTGCTGGCTGTCCCATTTCCATGACGTATACCGCCACGTTTGCCATCATCAATCCAATGGCATATGCAATGACAAGTGGAACAAAGTAGGGTCCTTGTGAGACCGAGCCAAGGAATCCACCGGCACTTCCAGTGCATTCAATAACCCCCGAAGCTTGACCTCCGCTGGAAATACCGACCAGTGCTTTGGCGGCATCGAATCTTGCCGCAAAGCTCAGCAATAGTCCAGGCACTGCGAAATGAAACGGAAAACAAAAGTGTGAGCACCATCAACATCAAGAACAAGTATACCCATACAAGGCAACATAACATCAAGAGCGAGAAATAATCCAAAGTAGGAATACAACGTACAGACAATATCACCCAGTCCCAAGAGGCTGGACCCTCCTTGATAATCAAATAGTCGAGGAATCGCAAAGAGCATTGGAAGTGGATCACCACCTTGACAGTCCTCGTCGGATGGATATTTTTCACACCACAATGGATCCTTCTTGGGTGGACCCCCGGAAGTCGCGACCGTCACCATGATGGATTCCCCCTTGAAGAGGTAGGGAGTGATAAAGACAAAGAAAATGTCGTAGAAAAAGGCCACAATCAATAGAATGGTAGCGACTTGAATCGAGTTGATTTCAATAATGGAAAGAAAGACAATGCACATGCAAGCACCAAATACATCTTGGGTAAGCCAGTAGAAGAAATACCCATCTGGTCGACGGACAAAGAGTGCCATGTACAACCAACCCATTCCCCATGCATATGACAAGACAGCACTGACCACGTGCCAATTGGAAATCTTTCCGAATTCTTCCGAATTGTACAGGGTTCGTTCCTTCATGCCCAGTTTGGCAAAGAGTCTAGCAAGATTGGGGTAAACCAACACTTGAACGACGGCATTGCTGCATCCAAACGCATAAAAGACCTTGACAAAGTTGTAAATCTAAAGCGAAAAACGTTGGTTGGTTCGTGGATATTGGAATGGAATGGAATGGAATGGACGAATGATTGGAAATAAATAAATCATTCAATCAATTGATCAATCAATCCATCCATACAAAGATGACTCACCTTGAAATAGAACAGAATGAATAGACTAGTACTCGCCATGAGAATGAATCCAATCGCATGAATGGGTTCCAGTTCGACTGTTTCTTCTTGCATTGGATTTCGTCGGGCCAATGGTTCGGACGATGACTCCTGCTCTTGTTGTGCTGCTGAATCATTAGATGGTTGTTGCTGTTGAAGTTGCTGACGTCGGAGCAATTTGGCAATGCCAATCCGATAGTCCCCGGCACTCTGATACGCTGCAACGGCTGCCACTACGACACCCAAGAGCCATACCAAAAAGGAGGATGGATTGTAGGTTGGTTTCCACCGTGCCTTCAATATGGCGGAGGTATCGTTGCCATGCTTTGAGAGCAATTCTTGAATGGTTGATTCTTGTTCCATGGTCACAAAGACCGCTGGAATTTGCACATTCAAATTGGAATCGTCTCCATACAGCCATAGATGCAAATCCCAAGCACAACAAGCTTTTGTTGTAGCTTCGCTGGAAGTATAATTGGTCAAGAGACAACGTTTCGATGGACAGTTTGCCAATTTGTCGGCACTATGAAGTTTGCACAAATTGGTGTCGGTATCTCCACTGAGCAACGGGTCATTGTGTGCTGCATCATATTGGAAATCATTGGTGAATTGTATTTCGCTCGTTGGAATATCTGCGGACCCCAAGGGACAATCATAATCGTAAAATGGCTGAGGAAAGAGAATATCCTTAGCAGTAGTGGTGGCAGTAGCATCATCAGTAGCAGTTGTAGTAGTAGTAGTCGTAGTATTCAGGCTGTACCGACTGGCCAAAGTATTGTAAATGACAATGCCTTTGGCTCCCATTTGTTCGGCCATGTATGCCTTGTGCTGATAAGTACATTCTCCTCTTGGAACCAGCACTATGGAATCCGTAAATTCAGAAGAAGTCGTCTCATTCATGCACAAGAGCGAGTCAGTGATTTTCAACGAATACGAAGAATGCTCAGATGACGATGATGATTCATCATTGTCTTCCGCGTCTGATGATGATAAGTGTCCTCCAAAGTTGGCCTGAGACGTCAAGAATGAAATGCTGGAAGTAGAACCATCCGACTGAGGAACCGATAGCACCAATTCTGCCGTGGGCAAGATTGCATTTGCCGTCTGACAAGTCCAACTGGTAGTAACCAGCAGGAACAGCCAATAAAATTCTGCCCTTATTGTCCGTCCCAATAATAAGAACATGCTATTGGTCCGCAGCATTATTGTGTTTCAGACAGCCGTTTTTTTCAGTGTGGGAAATCAAGCTAGCTCTTTCGTTCCAATCAAGTCTATTGAGTCTATATTCCCCTTCACTATGACTTTGGAATGCCAACTGATGATGACGACGATGATGACGATGACGACGATGAAGACGAGATGCAATGAAGGATCACAATAAAACAGTACGCAGTAGCAGCGAGTTTTGAATTCATCCAAAAAAATAGAACACCGCGCGACTTCGGGACAATAAACACTAAGGAATTCCCACCCATTCTTCAACGGACTGGATGATTTCAAGATGGAGAGTGGAGAAGTGGTTTCGGACATCGTCGACCCCTTTGACTGAAGTAGTGATGCATGGATGCCAATCAAAAGATTCGTTTGATTTTCTTCTCATCCGTTTTGCGGCATCAGCATCTGTCAAAAAGAATAAATAGAAGAAGAAAAATAAGCATCGGAAGACTTTCAGACAAACGAACAATAACCCAGCCATTTCCTTGTTTGTTGACAGCCACAGATAAGAAGCAATAACTTCCATACATACATACATTCATTCATTCCTACATATCATACATATATCAAGAATAAGATGGCCAGAGTCACACGTTCCTCCACTCGACCCAAGGCTCCTGCCAAGGTAGAAGAAGAGCCTGTTGTAGCAGCAGAGTCATCGCCCAAGAAGAAGGCGGCACCCAAAAAGAAGGCCGCCCCCAAGGCAAAAGCTGCCAAGCCTGCCAAGAAGGCCCCAAAGAAAAAGGCTGCCAAGAAGGAGGAGGAAGAAGTTGCTGCTCCTGTTGAAGACGAAGAAGAGGAAGTCGCTGAAGAGGAACCGGCTGGTGCTTCTGAAGACAAGTCTGTGGTTTCCGTCGAAGCTTGCAAGCAATGAGGCGCATTCAAGTCTCGAGCTGCCAAAATTGTCAAGGCCGTGGGGGACAAGGCTGTTGTAGAAATCAACAAGGAGAAGGTAAGCTTATGCTGTATATGCCTACTAATCATTTTTCGTCTAACATGCATCTTACAACATTTCTCCTCCGCATCTACACATCAGCCTGGCAAGGGTAACTTTGTAGTTCGAGTGAGTGGTGTGGAGGCTCCTATTGTAGAGCTTGTGGGATTGAAGCGTCCGTTTCCTCCGCTCAAGGCGTTGGATATGGACGATGTTTGTGCCAAGGTGGTTGCAGCTATTTCTTAAAAAAGAATCGGGAAAAAAATAAGGAAAAATGCTTTTATAGTTAGGAAAGAGTGGCAGGTATCGCCTTTCGATCTGACAGTAAAAGAATATTTTTATAATAAAAAAAACATGACATGATTTTGGCATCCAACGAAGACAGCTGGTGAAGAAAGAGCACTGGAATGACGGACTCTTTGAAAATGATTTCAAAGGTCCTGAGATAGTGAATGATTCACCTATAGTCAACTTGGATGTCACATCAAAAGACACTAGTATGCAATCCGTGCGCCTCTGCTATATATAGTTTATGGTAGGCTAAATGTCGATACTAGAAACTTGCAAATCTTATTTTCAATACTATTAGTATCCGTCTGATAGATGAAGCAAGTCCATGCATGCATGCCGTGCGTATGTGATGATGAGTTTCCATACATACCGGTACGCTCGAGGGATAGCTGTATCATAGGCATAATTGTAGTATCCATGCGTGATGAACGATGTGACGCGAGGATTCCTTATTTTTCGCTGGGAGGCAGCCTTGTTGATTTCAGGACTCTTATGCTCCTCCTGCCACCACTGCTATGTATAATGTGATGATTTGGTCTGACAAGCTTGTCGTCCGATTGATGATTCATTCGCTAAGGATTCGTGAAGCCAAGGCCTGTGACGACACCTGCGACGTTCTCCAAATAGACCTGTCGATTGGGGTCTTCTTCTCGGCCAAACTCTCCTCTCATCCATCGTGGAACATAGGCATTGTTGGCCCCATCAATGGTATTTCGAAAGAGGAATAAGTCCTTTGTCGATGTCACAGCAATCGCTGGCATGGACGAATCCACAATGCGATTGTCTTCTATCGTTATTCCAGAATGTGCACCAGGTGGAGCGACTGTACCATCTCCACCCCGTGCATGCAAATTGATGGCAACGTCACGAGATCTCGTAATGGTATTGTTGGCGATCAGCAGATTGGCTCCGGTACCTGCTTCCAGCCACGAGTATTCGGGAGCGAGCATGATTCCTGATAACCAAGTGTCTTGAACAATGTTCCCAGTAACAACTCCATCACTAGCCTTGACGAGCATCCCCCGTGCTCTGTTTGGTCCCAAGATACAGTCTTGCACTCGGAAACCATTGCCAAGTCGATTTGCCGAGGCGATAAGACTACCCATTGTCACGTCAATAGAGCGGTCCAATGTCACCGTGTACACCTTGGTGGCGAAGTTCGTCAGCTTGGTCCGACCGGCAAAGCTTTGTTGATTTAGAAATTCTTTCTCGGCTTGGTCAAGTGGATAGCTACTTTCGGTATCGAACGATAGGATCTTGGCACTCTCAATGCGTTCGCCACTGTACTTGACCAGCTCCACCATATCGCCTTCGGATAGATTTGGCACATCATCATTTTTTCCAATGACACGAATCGTATTATCCAAACCAGAAGGAACATTTGAAATAAGATGGTAGTCGCCATTGATGGCGATTCCATCGTCCGCATTGTACCGGGCAATTACATTTTGGAACCGAGGCCCAATTGGTGCATGTTTCGAATGAAAGGCATCCGCATTTGCACTACGAAGGCGTCTGTATCCACGTTGCTTGATGTCGTCCTCGGGTAGTCGACGGTCAACAGAGCTGCTAACGTATCCAGATGCCGTGCAATCCCTCTCTAGGAAGCCAAACTTATTGGAGGCATACAGCGTGACTCGTTCAAAAAGCAAATCTGTGGAGTCCTGGGCGTAGATTGCATGAGGAATCGGATTCGCAATGTTGGAGGAGCCAAATACCACAATATCGCCCACTTTTTCTTCTGACAGCGGCACATGATGTAGCTGTTTCTTCACTACGACATTCTTTCCAGTTCCATCTGCCAAACCGACATTTACTCCATAGTATGTGGGTGTAGCAAGTTCATCAGTAGCGGGGTCGTAGATTTCAATTTTTCCCATTTCTTCAATCGTGTCGGCTGCTGGATATCCATCAATCATGGAAACGGTCAATTCCAGTTGGTCATCCGAAATGCTTTCAATTATGCCTTGCGAAAACGGCAATGGATCGTAATCCACAATCAAACCTTTCAAGGTAACGTTTCTGCAGTTCAATAGATTGATCGCTCTTGTAGTTTTGGTGCATACAATTTCGGCCTCGTCCATACCATCAATGACAATGTCTTGCAAGTTTTGAAATAGCAGATGGACTTTCCCGTAGTTATGTTGTGGATCCACATAGTGTCGTCCAGGGGGTATTATGATATGCGTTTCGCCTTGGGCGACTTGATCATCAATAAACGATTGAACATCAAAAGGAGCTTGTGTGGGAAGCTCGGAAGTCTGTCGAGAAACACCACGCCTCAAAAGATCTGATGACGAGTCTAATAACGGTGATTGAGGATCCGATGATTTGAACACATTTGTGGACGTGCCAAGGATAGCTCCAAAAACCACAAAAACCACTAGACCAATAGCAGCGACGCGATAACTCATCGAAGTTTTGATATGATCTTTCTCAAGCATTATGGCATTGTCCTCCATCATAATCATTTCTTGAATCAATGCCCTCCGCAACTCGGAAACTTGTAATCCGGGAATCCGGCAAGATTTTTCTCAACTTCCACGGCCCGCGGGACTTGTTTTCGTCAGATCCAGATTTTAAAATACTCGCAAAACCGAATTTTTAAAGTTTATTTAGGAGCTTTTGGTGGAAAGTAGTCCAATCAACAAGATTCAGAGTTGAGTCAGATTAGTCCAAAATCGCCAAATCTTCAAACGGAATGATGCACAAGAGTTGAATGACATCCACATGAGTTGAATCACATCTGCAAGAGTTGTGTAAGATCCGACCCAAAGCCGGTTGACAAAACGTGTTTATACTCCATTACCGCACAAACTAAATAAGATCATCCCACATTTTAGTGCATCAAGCTAGTTCCAATAACACGTTCGAAAAGACGAAACAGTGGTGAACGATCCTGAATCTCGAACGACTGCGTACCCTTCAGGATCCGATGCTGTACATAGGTAGGAGTGCTCTTTGTCATTGCATAATATATATACATGAATATTTACTAATTTACATTCTCCTTTCGTTGATTTATTGAAGCTCCAGGACGACAGTTGGGCCCAGCAGAGACAGCACCACGGGCAAAAAGATCAAACCGTGGGTGATGCCCAAGACGACCAAGCCCAAGAAACAGTAGAAGATGGTGCTAAATACAGTGCTTGTCGAGAATACCAATGGAAGAACTCCCAAAAATGTCGAAATGCCCCCAACGAGGATGGATGCTCCCATGGTCTGCAAGACATCTTTCACCTTGGCCTCTCTTGTGGTCTCTTTGGATTCAAAGAATCTTAGCAGGATGTGAAGCAAAAAGTCGACCATCAATCCAATCGACATGACCAACGAAATGTAACTGACTGCGTTGATGGCGACTCCACACAGCTGCAAAAAGCCCAGCAAGTCCACATACAAGATGGAGATGATGGGAGCCACAAAGAGGACCGAACTCCAATGTGGAATGAATATCAAGGAAATGATGGAAACCGCACTCACTCCCAAAATGGTGCTCAATACCAACTCGGAAGGGGATTCGGTATAGAATTGCCAAATGTAAAATAACTCGTCAAAGGTAAAGAACTTCCAATTGTCCGGATCCACTCCATTATTGATGGAAGTATTCTCGGTAATGACTCGTTGAGTCTCCAAGGTGTCGACCAGAGAATCGACGCTGCGTTGGTTGACCCGGTCCATTCGCACTCGAGTTCTAGACACAGTCACATTTCCAGCTTGATTGCGAACGATATTTTTGCTGTACAATTTGTCAAAGGATGGAACTGTCAAAAAGACATCCAATTGTTGTTCAAAGGCCAAATTGCCCATGGTGTCAGCAATTGTAGATGGTGACCCACTGTAGGTCACATAGGCAGGACTGTCTTTTGGAAAGCCAGCAACCAAGGACGACATGGTCTGGGTAGAAGTCAAGAATGCTTGGAAATCCCGGACCCAAAAGAAATCTGGTTGGGAACTGATTTCGTCCATGGCCACAATGTCATTGACGTAGGTATCCATTTGGGCTTGAATGGCTGGATCACTTTGATCAATGTCTCGAAAGACCACATAGGGAGCCACACCGGATCCACCTGTGTAGACTTGATATTTGTCCCAAAAGTCGGCCACATACGAATCCGACGGAAGTACATCGGTGAAGTAAAACTCTTGCTTCAACAAGGAAGCACTGTAGGACAATCCACCAAAGATTCCAAAGAAAATGGCCAAGACAATCACCTTGACGATCGGTTTCATTAAGAAATCACTGTACCAGACCATGAAACGATCGACCACGGGTATCTCGGGAGCTTGGTCGTCTTGATCTTCTCCTTCTTGTTGTTGGGGAGCCTTGAGGCAAGTGAAGCAATCACGCTTCTTGGCTTCCACCCGTTGCTCATCCAAGATAATCAAGGCGACAAAGAACGTCGTCTGATAGATGAAATCAATGAGAATCGTTGGAGCCGCGTAGGCGCACAACCAGTAGACGGCAGGAACCTTGGACAACCCTCCCAACCCAAAGGCTACCACAGACGTGAAGGTGGTGACAAAGATGGAGACTCCCACTTCTTCCATGGTATCGTGCACTCGATCCACCGCTGGAATGGATCGATCCATGCGTTGGTAGGCGCCCCAAATGATAAAGGCATCGTCCAATCCAATACCAAACATGATGAATGGTACAATTTGGGTCATGGATGTGAATGGGACCCCAATGATAAACATGATACCATAACCGACCATGATGCTCAAAAAGATGGAACACACGGCCCCGAATCCAAGCAAGCAACGCGAATGAATCCAATTCTTGCGAAAGAAAACGAGACCGGTAAAAATGCTCATGACGAAAAATATCATGGGGACCAATGGAATGTCGTTCACAATGGCTCGACTAAACTCGTCATCAAAGGATCGTTCGGCAAAGGCTTCGAGGCGGTATGGATTATTTGGTTCCGATAGCCATTGTTCCTGGAGTGCCAGCACACGATCCAACATGATGTCTTCGAATTCAAAGGCAGCGTCGGTTTCGGGAAAGTCAATGGTCATGATTAGGAGCTGGGCATAGGTCAGCAATTCATTTTCGTATTGGGGATTTCCCATAATCTCCTTGACTTCCACGGGAGTTCCATCTGGATAGGTCGGCTGACTGATTTGAGTCAACACGTTGTTGTTGTTGTTGTTGTTGTTGTTGTTGAGCTTGGATTCAAAATTGGTCAAAGAGTAGTCATAGAATTTGGTAATGGAAGCGATCCCGCAAGTAGTTCCGCCATTCTCGTTATCCTTCATGGTAACGGTCGCTTCCTTGCACACATCGGCATATCCAGGAGTGCTAGTCACGGTTTCGAGGAGAGTAAAGACTCGGCGAAGGCCTTCTTCCGGATCGCTCAAGACATTGCCTCCATCGGCATGCACCGTAAAGCGAGACCAGCGAGGGGGAGAGGGAAAGCCCGCTTGGTTGGCCACGTAATCTCCATGGCTCAGCACTCGAGAGGGTGTGGGAGTCCACAAGACATCTCCATCAATTTCCAAATAAAAATTAGTGAGGACACCAATAATGGCCAATTCAAAGGCCAAGACGATTCCAATGGCGATGGTCATTTTGGGATGGGCGGCAGCCGAGTCACCCATCCAACAGACCATTCTGGAAATGGGTTTGCGAATTTGGACCAACGCGTTAGTCCAAGCGGCAGAGAACTTGGATGGTTTGTTGTTCGAATCGGATGCTGTTTCAGATGTTTCATCCTCCTCCTCATAGAGTTTCTTCTTCTTCTTCTTGTCACTGTGATTGTTGTGAGACAAGGGAACTTCGTCGAAGTCATCATTACCATTGCTATTATTATTATTGTTATTATTCTCCAAGTCCTCGCTGGTGAAGCCCTCGGGCATGGTGGACATGGTAGAAGTTTTCTTTGTCAAGTCTTTCTTAGGCATCTTAGGTCATAAAATTCAAAAAGCGGAATGCTTTCAAATCCACCACGGAAGGATATGTTATATTATGAGTGAGAAGGATTCCACTTGATGCAAGCGAGTATTGCAAGAACAGGGTTGAATGTTTTTTATATTGCAAGAATGAAATCACCCCTTCCGGAGATAATTCAAAACAGTGATGGTTTCCATGGCGGCATCATGCTGTTCTTGTGGATTCCCGCTCAGAAAAAGGATTCAATTTCGGCTCTTCTGTTCGACATTGACATTTAGGTTGTCACTCGCGGGGTTAAGTGTGATTATTCCGGACTGTTTTATAATTTATTGCGACCAATTGTTTCACATGTGTGGGAAGTAGAATTGCGACAATGGCCATATATATGCTCGGTGAGCGCGGGAGTGACGTTTTTTCCAGTCGAAATATATTAAAAAAAACTTTCGCCCCCGCTCGTTCCGGATACAAATCGGGGATGATGACAGTCATGTTTGGATGCTTCCTCATCATCATCATTCATCATCATCATTCATCATTCATCATCAATCTCCAGCGAAGAATGGGTTTGATCGTGAGTGTCTGTAAGCTTGCCACATCATGCTGAACGAAAAAGCGGGAATCAAAGTAACCGCATGAAAGACTGATTGACTTTATCGTTAATTCCTGTTAGGGTGGAATTCTGCTGATATATTCCTCCCGTTTTGGCTTCCTCATAGGACGTTGATCTTCGCTTGAGATTCCGTGTTCCATTCGGGCACGCGCACTTCAACATACATATTGTCCAATCTCACGTCACCACGTCAGTGTCACGTGAGACGGACCTACTGTCTGAATTCTCTCTCTTTGAGTGAATTCCATCTCTCACTCTTTTGTGGAGATCGTAAAATCACATCACATCATTAAAAGGATAGAATCTCTGTTTTATCTTACTGTCTGGCTATATCGGTCTCGGATCTATAGCATCGTTAACAGTATTCTACCTTGTCAGGTTATGAGCCCAAGCTTTTACGCTTCTTACTGTGATTGTCAACAAGGAAATTGAAAGTTTGTTTCAATATCGTCCACAAATAAGTCAAAAACGCTTTTACTAATTTGAAGGTCTATCGACACCTATCAGTGATTCAGTGATCAGCAGCATGAATCCTAGTGATATGGTAACAGAAGACGGTCGGGGAAGTCCAGTTCCAAGGAATGTTCAGTTCAACATACCTCCGAATACTCCTGCAGCGAGTGTTTCTCAGAAATCGCAACAGAGCGGAACTCCTCCACCACCACCGAAGGATATTATTGGCGGTGTGACCTTCTCAGCCAAGCCAAAGCTTCAGATCAATCTAATCAAGTCAACTGTGATCTGTCCAAAGGAGGAACGAGAACTGTTGAGAACAGCAAATCCGAAAGCGTATCATCAGTTGGAAAAAGACGCTAGCGGAACATCAGCCGATAGTCGCAACCAGCAAATCGAGGACATACCTTATGCCAAGACAGCAAGTGAAGTCCACGATGTAATAAAAGTTGAGAACCACATCACGGAGCATCTCACGAAGTTTGGGATCGATTGGTTCTTTGTCAACACAGTATTTCCCATCAAGAACAGGAACGGGGAATTTGAACAAAGCAAGCTTGAGAATCGAGCGGCAAATCTTTTGTCAGGTTATGCAACTCTTACCTTGGAAGAAGTCTTCGACTCAGTCGTATACCTCTATGGATATGGTTATGACGAAAGTCAGGGTGAGAATTCTTGGATGCCAACAGATCTTCAATGGTCTGGAACATATCTCAAGAATCAATGCACGAGCGATATGATCGATCGTATCGAGGAAGACTTGAAGAGCGCAGGGATCTCGAAAGACTTCTGGGGGTGGGGTCCACTCATCTACAAAGTTCTTATGGATCGTATCTCTGCTAGCAGCTATCACGCACTCAAGGCACTTCGGGACTCTCTCGAAGAAGGTGATGGCATCAATTTGTACTCCAAGGTATATGATGGCAATATCCGCAAGTTCTGCACGGAAATTGAGTCTACCATCCTTATGTTGCGAAAGAATGAGAAGCACAATGCCAAAGGGGAAATTGTTGGCGAGCGCCACATGCCCAAGGGCTTGTCAGAGCGTCTTTTGAGGGTATTCAGCAACACAGGAAACGGTGACTTCGACGATTTGTTCCAAGGCGAACTTAAGCTTGGGAACCAGAGGTGTCTTCTCGAGAACGTCGAAGGCGAAGCAGCATACGGCACGCCTGAAACCATCTTAATCCAAGCCCGCAAGTTCTATGACAGGCTCAATCTTTTAAATCAATGGGAGACGGAGGGAACACGAGCGGCTGCCTTCACCGCCGACATCAGTCCACCCAAAGGGAAATCAGGATCCAAGTGCTTCGGGTGTGGACGCGATAGCTGTCGCCAGAGCAATGCCACTTGTCCTCGTCACAATCTGGAAGCAAATCCCGAAGGGAAGAAGGCCAAAGCTGCTTTCGATGCAGCCAAGGCAGCGAAGAAAGCCTCGAAGGAATCTGGGAAGAAGGGCGATCAAGTTTCCAAGGGCTCAGAGAAGGGAGACAAGACCAACAAGACCGGAAAGAGCAAATGGCCTCCAGCTCCAAAGGGAGATGATCCCAAGGAACAAGAAATCAATGGAACCTTGCATTTCTATCACTTCAAAGACAAAAAGTGGTACAAGTGCAGAAAGCAGAAAACAACTGGAGAAGACGAACCGTCGCCAAATACCGGCCCCAGTGCGCACCTCGCGCAATCAAACGGTGTTTGGAACGGGAACGGTCTATTCGCGGGAATGAGTGGATATTTCTCTGAAGAGTTCTCCAAGGTCAAGGTCGGAGATGCTACCAACGAAGAAGTCATGTTGCAAGAGCGTCTACTCAAGAATGCCGTTGACAGGGCAATCCGTAACTTTAACAAGAACCTGGGCCAAGAGTGACGGTCCTGGTGGCGTGAGGAAGACGTGATCAAACGATATTTTTGGTCCCTCATGCCACCCTTTGCAATGCTCGGAGTTGTGTTACTCTTTTGTACTATGTTTAACGAGCTACTATCAGTTGGATACAAGACAGCGATGTCTGGCTTGTGTCATCTGCACTACGTCCCTGAGAGTCAAGGCCTGACTCTCGATATTTGGTCCGCCTACAAGTCTGTCGCGGAGACGACTTTGTGTGAGTGGGCATGCATACTGCAGCTTGGCCTTTATGCTGCAGTGATCTGGTACCTGTACTCAAGTCTGAAGTATCGGAACGATTCTGTTCTGTTCCGAGGCCTCGACGATGAATACATCCAACCTGATCAACATTTGAAACGGAAATGTCAGTCATGGAAACAGTCTATACCCAGATGGGGTTTGCGCCCCTCTGGAGTACTTTATGCCCTCGTGGCACCACCGTCCATGCCCAGAGTAGGGTGTCGCCCATCTGGAGTACTTTTTGCCCATGGAGAGGCATATGTCAATGTACATCAACCAAGAAGAATGTATGTGGAGTTGCCATCAGTTGAAAAGCCGCGTAGGAAGATCACTGTGGAACTGCCGTCAGCGTACCCGTGGTGGTGCGGCATTCGTCGATATCGTTACCCGCGTCAGTACCATCTGAGACTTCGTATCGCGCGCGTCAAAGGAGATCCTAGGAAAATACTCCGGCGACAACGGAAGGAAGGGGTTCGAGAGCAGAAGCAGGAAAGGAAGCGCCAAGAGAGGCGCCGCAAGGAAGATTATGAGAGCCGACGTCCTGAACGGCGCCGAAAGGGTGCTGCACAGGGTCGAAAGAAAACAAGGTTTCGTTTACTGAAGAAGTTAGTTCGCGCCAAGAGCCCTAAGGAGCAAGATGTTCTCCAGAGGGAGCTGAAGAGTCTCAAGGAAGAGGATTTCTGGGGAGATTACGACGTCAAGCAACCTAGTCACTGGGAAAGTCCAAGCGATGAGGAGTTGTTAGAAGACTACGAGCGGACCAAGAACCGATATTTGCACCACTCTTACCTCCAGTACGAATCGCAGTATGGGGTTGTTCTCGACGAGCTTCTTGCGGATTTTCGTCCTAATACCAAGCATCACGCAATGAAGGATGTCCTCAGTTCGACATTCCTTCAACCCGTTTCATCCCTGCCAAGAGTCACTCAAGCACTTATTGCAGCAGACGACCTCGTGTCCGATGTGTCCTGTGCTGATCGACTTCGCAGCGTCTACATCAATGTTGATTCCAAGGGCGAACTACCAATCGTCATCGATACCGGAGCATCTTTCTCTCTGACTCCGAATCTAGAAGATTTTGTCACCAAGCCGATTGCTTGTGGGACAAAAAGTCTGAATGGTTTGTCCTCCATAACTCCTGTGCTGGGTATTGGAGAGGTGGAATGGAAGATCAGAGATATGCATGGGACCATCAAGTCGATTCGCGTCAGTGCTTACTACGTTCCAGACACCAACATCAGATTGCTCTCGCCGCAGTCCTACTTTCAAGAGCACGGCAAGGGTGAGGTCTGTTTCGATAGTTTTCAAGTCAAGATGACGTTGCCTGATGGCGACACCCTGTTCTTTCCGTACCAAGCGGGCAACAACCTGCCCATGATGCTTACGGCGAATCGTCTTGTAGACGAGGCTGCACATATTATCACCGACGAAGAAGAAGAATTTTTGCCGGAAGACATGAGCGTTTTTCTGAACGTTGCTCATGAAAACAATGCGAATCTTACCAAGGCTGAGAAGAAGTTGCTTCTCTGGCATGCGAAGACAGGTCACGCGAATATGAACTGGCTTCTGAAACTCTGCAAGTGGACCAAGACGGAGGGACATCCAGTGATGGGACCTTTACCTGCCAAGAAAGACGAGTTCAAGTCTTGCAAAAGTCCCAAGTGTGCTGTCTGTCAACTTGCGAAACAGCGTCGCCGCAGTCCACGATCCGATGCTGCTCAACAACAACCTGGCTCGAAGACGGGCAAACAACGAAAAGAAAAGGAAATGATGGTCGATAACCTCAAGCCAGGCGACAAGGTCTCGATTGACCAATATCTCTCGGCTGTCCCTGGTCGACTTGCGCATACTTTTGGCGAGGAGAAGACTTCCAAGCAATATGTTGGCGGGACCCTGTTCGTGGACCATGCCACCGGTTTCGTCCACGCGAAACACCAGACTTCGACTGGCACGAGAGAGACAGTCAAGAGCAAACATTCGTTTGAGAGTGAAGTTGGTGAATACGGACACAAGGTCAAGTCTTACCGTGCTGACAACCACCCTTTCAGCTCGAAAGGATTCTTGGATGATATCGAGTCGCACAAGCAGACTATTGATTACTCTGCAGTCGGAGCTAAACATCAGAATGGAGTTGCCGAAAGAGCAATCCAAACTATCACCACCTGGGCTCGTGCCATGCTTCTTCATCAAATGTTGCATTGGCCAGACGAAGCCGATCACAAGTTGTGGCCTTTTGCTATGGATCATGCAGTCTATTTGTGGAACCATCTACCACGCGAAGATACCAAGCAAGCGCCAATCGAGCTCATGGGAGGGGCTAAGATCGACCATCACCAATGGTTCAAACGTCTCCATGTCTGGGGATCACCGGTGTATGTGTTGGATCCGAGATTGCAGGACGGGAAGAAGATTCCAAAATGGGATGTTCGGGCGCGGCGTGGCATGTATGTCGGCGTTTCCCCAACTCATTCTTCACTTGTGAGCCGTGTCTTGAATCTCCAGACAGGCTATGTCAGTCCGCAGTATCATGTTGTGATTGATGACCTTTTCACGACAGTTCCAAATGCCGATCAAGGAGGTCTGTTTGATGTTGCCGAGTTTGATGCAACGACTTGGCAGAGTCTCGTGGAAACTGGTTACGAAAAGCATTTGGACGAGGAGGGATTGGCGAGTGGAAGTCGCCATGATCGCAGAAAACGTCCTACTTTGGCGAACGAATGGCTCAATCCCGTTGAGAAACGTGCTCGCAAGTCGCGCCGGGCGGCTCGCGAGGCGCGTTTACGTCAGCGAATCGCCGAAGAGCGTCGTCATCGCGCTGCACGCAACCGACATGTCACTTTTGAAGTTCCAGAGGGAGGAAATATTGACGCTGAAGACAAACCCGCATCTGCGCCGCCCAATCCTCCAAGTCACGATGATTTGAACGACGACGATTCCGATGGAGAACCAGCGATTCATTCAGACGACGAGCAGTCTGTGGTTGAAGGTCATGAGGCCGAAGATGAAGATCCAGGAGAGGAGTCGGAATCAGAGGGAGCTGCTGCTCCATCACTACCGACATCACGTGTTCGCAAGAAAAACCCCAAGTACTTCGGGGATGACTTTGCAAATGTTGCCGAGCTAGGCAAGAAGAAGATCCGACATTCTGCCTTGGATCGACAATTCTTTGCTAATTTGAAGTGGGCGGAGGCCATCAACACTATCAAGGGCGACAACTTTGGTCGAATGTGGCGAGCCGCATGTGAGCCGTACCACGACCACGACACGGGGCTCCAGGACGACCTGCATCCCATGATTCTCGCTGCGAAAGCAAACAGTGAAGACAACCCAAACTGGAATGAAGCAATGAATGGACCTCTACGACAAGGGTATTGGAAGGCAGCGGAAGACGAAATTGAGGCTCTCAAGAAGAAGGAGTCCTGGGATGTCGTTGATCGCACTGAAGGCATGAATGTTCTACCTTCCACGTGGGCGTTCAAGTGCAAAAGGTACCCGGACGGAAGTGTCCGAAAACTCAAGGCAAGATTTTGTGTTCGTGGCGATCGACAAATCCAAGACGTCGACTTCCACGAAACATGGGCACCTGTGGTCAACTGGAACACAGTGCGCCTCATGCTGATTCTTTCTCAAGTCCTTGGCCTCTCTACGAAGCAAGTTGATTACACTACGGCGTTCCTACATGCGCCAATCGAGGAAGAAGTCTATGTCGCGATGCCTCGCGGGTTCTCGGAACCCAACAAGGTATTGAAACTCAAACGATGTCTCTATGGATTAAAACAAAGCCCCAGAAATTTCTTTCAATTCCTGCAGTCTAATTTGGAGGACATTGGATTCGAGCCTCAAACCGAAGTCGATCCATGTCTTTTCATCTCGAAAAACTGCATCTGTCTTGTCTATGTTGATGACACTTTGTTCTTCTCACCTGAACAGAAGTATATCGATGAAGCCATCGCCAAGCTGAGAGAAAAAGGAATGGAGCTAGAAGAAGAGGCGTCTGTTGCTGGTTTTCTGGGCGTACACATCGAACGCAATGAAGAAACTGGAGCTATCACCTTGACTCAGAAAGGTCTGATCAAGCGTATTGTCGATGCTCTTGGTGTCCAGAAGACATCACCTACACCAGCTCACGTTGATCCATTGGCGATCGATGCGGAGGGAGATCTACCTGATGGTTTGTACAACTACGCCTCAGTTGTTGGAATGCTCCTGTATCTGTCTGGACACAGTCGTCCAGATATTTGTTTTGCAGTTTCTCAAGTCGCACGATTCATCCACGGGAATCGACGCAGTCACGAAGTAGCGATCGAACGAATCGGACAGTATTTGAAGGGCACGATGGACAAAGGTTTGATCCTTACTCCAAGAGAGGACTTTGATATTGACTGCTACGTCGATGCTGACTTCGCGGGTCTATGGAACGTCGAGGAACATACGAATCCTGAGTCTGTACGAAGCAGAGCAGGATATGCAATCTGTATCTGTGGCTGTCCGATCATTTGGAAGAGTCAATTGATGCGACCTATTGCAGCTTCTACTATGGAAGCGGAGTATAATGCTCTCGCTTTATCTATGAGGGACGTGCTACCCTTGCAGGAACTATTCAAGACGATTGGCCACGCTGTTGGAATCGGCAAGGAGTTCTGCACTCAATTCAGCACAACTATTCATGAAGACAACCAAGGTGCCCAGAAGTTGGCATGTATGGAACCAGGCCATCATACTCCAAGGTCGAAGAGTTTTTGGGTCCGGTCCCATTGGTTTCGGCAGTACTTGAAGCCGACACGCACTAAAGTGGTCTACATCAAAACCAACCTACAGAAGGCTGATATACTTACCAAAGGTCTTACCAAGGACAAGTTTCTTCGATGCAGAAAGCTACTCTGCGGCTGGTAACAACCTTCTTATCTGTCAAGCACATCATACGACTCAAGTCAAGTCCAATGTTCGGAAGAGAGGGAGTGTTAGGGTGGAATTCTGCTGATATATTCCTCCCGTTTTGGCTTCCTCATAGGACGTTGATCTTCGCTTGAGATTCCGTGTTCCATTCGGGCACGCGCACTTCAACATACATATTGTCCAATCTCACGTCACCACGTCAGTGTCACGTGAGACGGACCTACTGTCTGAATTCTCTCTCTTTGAGTGAATTCCATCTCTCACTCTTTTGTGGAGATCGTAAAATCACATCACATCATTAAAAGGATAGAATCTCTGTTTTATCTTACTGTCTGGCTATATCGGTCTCGGATCTATAGCATCGTTAACAGTATTCTACCTTGTCAATTCCGGCACCAAGAAGTTATTGAACTTGATTCAGCAATGCCTGGCTATCTTTGGATACTCGCCCTTGTCGCCCTGGTTGTGATTTGTTCCTATCTCAACTGCTGGATTGAAAAGCAACGGAGTTTGAGACGACGACGACGACGTCTTGATGCAATGAAGACTCTACTAGAACAAGATGATACCAAGAAAGAAGAACAAGTCTAAGCAGGAGGAGAGATTATTATGTTTTCCATCATCCTTCTGGATCTATAATCTGAATCAATCGTCTTATCCTTCCTACAATCTGGAGAAGTTTTCATATCAACAGTCCAGTTGCAGAATACGAATATCGATGAGCTGTCAACAGTACACTGCGGGCTGTTCTTTTAAGAAGAGATGTCAAGAAAGAACAGACAATAATGACATGACACACGTACAATATAACTCTATCCGTCGATCTTCAGCATAATGGCCGTGGGTCACTTTCATCCAATAGAGCCGACATGACATCATATAAATGTCTTGAATCTTTTTACCAAACCAAAATAACATTGCTATAGGAATTGAAGACATTATTCGACTATCGGTCTTGCTTTTCGCCTACTGTACGATATGGACTCGAATAAAATAAGTCTGTCAAAAGAAGGAGACCCAAAAAATGAATCCACCCTGGAAGAGGATGTTACGATGATGACGATTGGCTGCCAGCAAATACTTCCAATCGAATAATCAAGTGCCTTCCTTATATGATGCATTTCCATTGCTTCTTCATATTTTCGCTGACATCAGTCCAGAGCGACACCAATATATTGTTTTATAATAGTTGTTTGAGCAGTGTGTGTCAACATGCCGATCGTCAGCATAAATAATTCTGAATAAATGTCGAGTGCCTTTTGGTGATTGATTTTTGCCTCTTCATATCGCTTCCTAGCTTCCTTGAGCCTGAACCAATGGAAATATAAGTATAGGCCACATCTTTGTGGGGACTTTCCGAGGTGTTTCAATCGTATCTGAAGAACGTGTTGATACAGATTCTTTGCTTATTGTCATACTCATTGCCCTGGTCATACAAAATCTTCCCAACTTCCATCAATTTGTATATATGCATTGTCGAGTTCCTTTTTCTGTATCTCGCTCATTGTAGTGTGCACAAAAACAACATGGTGAAGTACAGTATATATAGACAGTATGAACTAATATAAAGAGTAAAGAAGAAGAATTCATCTAATCATTTGTTCCATGTTCGTGTCATTGCATTATTTGATTGATTGATTGATTCATTCCTTCCTTCCTCTCGTGTCCCAAATTAAAAATGGCTGGAACTCTTACACATTAGTACCGTTTCCTGTTTGTTACCACCACCACACACGCACAATCACAATTACACACGTACAATCACACATCCAAACAAGTACAGTAGAGCCTTATACCTATAAAACGTATACTCGTAGTTTGTTTTGTTTTGTTTCGTTTGTTTCGTTTTGTTTAGATATCATCAAACGCAATACCAATGTCATCGTCGTCATTGTCATCGGCCATTGCCATATCGACGGCCGTTTCATTGATTCTTGCATTTTCGGGCAATTCTCCATATTGTTTGAGGTTCCGTGCCTCGTCTGCCGTGTACTTGTGCACAATGTCGACCTTTTCGTCTTGAAAGTCACGTTTGGCCACCAGAATGATATCTCCGGCCGTGATCCAAACCTTTTTGCGCATCTTTCCCCGAATGTGACCAAGTCGCGTCACACCATCAAAGCAGAAGCATTCGCAGCGGCCATTTCCCAGCATTCGGACCACTTGGGCATATTCTTGACCGTCTTCCTTGAATTCCAATTCGCGTTTGGATTCTTCGCCGTCTCCTTTTCCCCTTCTTCGGTTCTTTCCTCCTTTTCCTGTGGTTATTACGATTGTTGTTGTTGTTATTATTAAAATGTTATTTGTATTGTGAGTGAGTGAATGAATGAACACGTTAAAATGATTTGATAATGAACATGATACACAAGATACACATGACATATGAACGCAATGAAAGAAAAGAAAAAGGAAGATTTTCTCTCTCTCTCTCTTTCTCGTATGTCATGAATCGAAACCAGAGACAACGACAGCATTCCTTCCTTCCGTCCTTCCTTCCTTCTGACAGGACCTCCAGATGAAGAGCCTTGAAGTTCAAACAAGAGTATAGTTGGATGGATGGATGGATGGATGGATGGATGGATGGATGGATGGATGGATGAAACGCTTTGTCTCTCTTGTGTGTGTGTGTGTGTGTGTGTTGTTTTGTTCCCATAGGATTCATTCAACAAGAATACCAGCATCAGCAATTCAAACTAGATTCTTACCCTTTGGTTTTGGCATCTTGCAGGCTTGTTCTTTCTAGTTTTTGTCTTTTATTGATCAATTGATTGATAACCAGAACAACAACAACAACAACAACAGCAACGCAGGACAGCAACTTTTTGATTCGTTGATCGACAATTAATTATTTCACAGAGAGGCGTTCGTGCGCTTGCGCTCTCCAGCAGGCAGATCTCCTCTCGCGGCAATAAAAAAGCAGCCCATGGAAGGTCCAGGACCTGAAGTACGATACCGGTATGCTGTATCCATATTTCGCATTGGTTCCGAGTTTGCGTATCAATTAGACTGATTCGATTACTCAGACGAATGAATTACCACTTACTTTCTTTCCGGTCTACCACAAACTACCGTTCAATAAATTGGTGTGTAGAAAATGTACCAGATTCTACTTCCTTGGTCTGGAATCCAAGGAGTCGTCAGTCCATCCCAGCAAACCTCCTGCCATCTTCATCATCATCATCGTCAACATTCCTCGATTCGATACAAATCAATCAATCAATCAATCGACTTTAGACAACAATGGTCAGTAGACATTTATCGTAGTTAATGTTGTTGGAAACGAGGATGATGGACAATTGGTGAAGGAATTATGTTATTCATAGGGCATGGAGACAACGGGAGAGAAGAAAACTAGAAAAATGGAATTGGAATTGGAATTGGAATTTGAATTGGAGTTGTTGTTGTTGGAAGCAATCAATTCAAATTCAATTCAATTCAAATTCAAATTCAATCATCATTCGAGCAAGGGAATAATTGGAAGCTATTCCATGAAAGAAGCAAACGCTGTAGTCTCGCTCTCTCTCTTTGGTCTCGGCTCCATCAATGGAATCTTTCCCACACTCATGCTGTATCGCAATCACAATCGCAATCACAATCATCATCACAACGTTAATACTCACAATCACACTCTCTTTCTCTCTCTCTCTCTCTCTCGCAAAAACACTGTATTATTATAACAGGGTATCACACGCGAAGGACGCCACAAACGCCGCGAAACGGGAGGACGCCGTGCCAAGTTTTGCAAAAAGCGCAAATTCTTGATGGGACGACCTGCCGCCATGACCAAGATCGGCGAGCAGCGCATCCATTCGGTCCGAGGACGTGGAGGAAACTTGAAATTCCGTGCCCTGCGCTTGGAGGCCGGAAACTTTTCCTGGGGCACGGAAGTCTGCACCCGCAAGGTCCGTGTGTTGGACGTGGTCTACAACTCCTCCAACAATGAATTGGTCCGTACCAAGACGTTGGTCAAGGGAGCGATCATCATCATCGATGCCCACCCTTTCAAGTCCTGGTATGAAGGACATTACGGAATGAAGATTGGAGTCAAGAAGTCCGGAGGTGTCACCACCCAAGAATCCATTGATCTTTCCTCGGTTTCCGACAAGGTGGCGGCCAAGCTAAAGAAGAGACAATCCAAGAGAACTTTGGAACCTGCCTTGGATCATCAATTCGCTTCTGGACGTATCCTTGCCAAGATCACCTCTCGACCTGGACAATCTGGACGTTGCGATGGAGTCATCCTAGAAGGACCGGAACTTGCCTTTTACCAAAAGCAAATGCACAAGAAGTAAATGACAAAATAAAACTAAACAAATAGTAAATTAAAAAAGAAGAAAGATTCAATCCAACTTGAAAATACAAACAAACAAAACCTTATTAGTCGCAGAGAAAAGAAAAGCTAGTACTACAGCAGTGTGCATTGATTGTATCAAACCACCGTTCCTTTTTGCGAGGAGTGATTGACCTGGTTTGGTGAAACTAGTTACTACCTCGTAAAGTTACTACAGTAGTTGGATACGCCTTCCTTACTTCTAGCTAGCTCTCTTCTAGTAGTAGTAAAGACGACTGTCACCAGTAAAGCACAGACGCCGGTAGGTACGTGTACCGTATTGGTGTCTTGCTCGCTCGTCATTGTTAGCATGAAGCACCACCACCAGGACGACCAGGAACATGAGGACTTCTTTCTTCTTCTTCTTTTTACTACTACTACTACTACTACTACTACTACTACTACTACTACTACTACTACTACTACTACTACTACTACTACTACTACTACTACTACTACTACTACTACTACTACTACTACTACTACTACTACTACT